TTCAAGATTTTCTAATTTTTTATTTAAACCCAACAATATTTATACTTCTAATGTTAATGAAGTGCATATGTTAGTAAAATTAAATGCCATAAGTAACAACTGCTTTTGGTCTTGTAGGCTCTAGAGAAAAACCAGCAATGGCTGATATATGACCAACAACGGGAGGCTTACGTCAGGGGTCTGCTTGGCCGCATATTTGAGCTAGAACAACAAAATAGTCGGTGTTCTGACTCCAAAGAAGAAAGTATGGAACTGCATCATTCCTCTAACACCGGGTTGTCCACCTTTCTCACGTTGGGAATGGTGCACTTTTCAATTTTTCTCTCATTGTGGGCACTGAGCAAATTTCAGGAAAATAAGGTTCACCACAATTATAGACATGAATAGAGAGAAGAAAAACAATTCCAAAGCAATAAATCAATAATGTGAATGGATAATTAATAAAAGTGGTTAAAGTGTGCCAAATGGCAGAGCTAACCAATAAAACTTGTATTAACATGTTTTAGTTAAAAAGCAAACCTCTGAGGGCCCCATTGTGGCCAACGGACTACATTTTGACAAGCCTGCTTAAACACAGCTGAAGTTTGAAAAAAAAAATGATGTGCATGCAAGATTGGGTGTTTTCCATCAATTTCATGTCACACTCTGTGAAAGTTGTAGGTTGTACTGTACGTCCTGGGCAGTAATGCATAAATGCCCACAAAAGATGAGACAATAATCCGGTAGACTTGGGACGCCCTGCAGAAGTCACTGAACTTTCTCATCTGTGATTTCCAGGGATCTGAGTTATTTGTTTTTGTCATATTGTTTACTATGAAACATAGGAATACAGTTATCCAAAAAGATTCCTGTAATACTTTGTTTGTAATTGATATACTCCTGATAGCCAGTTACTGAATAAAGCAAGTAGAGCTAGTCTTTACTTGAAATGGATTTGTTACGGATAAGATATTGCGCATACCTTTGTCCCGGTTCTACTTTAACCCTGTGCCAGTTAGTGTTTCTTGATATGTTCCAAGTAACCAGCCAAAAGGTGCCCTGCACCTGAATAGACTTGTCTTAGTTGATTGAATTAGCACTAATGTGTTTTACCTCTTGCTTCCAATTGGCCTGAAGATTCTTGCATCCTCAAAATTTGGCTGCAGCCACTAGTCCTTGGTTATTTCTCTGTTAGTAAAGCTTTTGCATGTTATTCTTTCATTAAAAGAAGATGGAGATTTTTTACTTTGTGAATTAATTAATTTGTTTGTAACCAGTTGTCTAATATTTTCACTTTACTTTGGGTCTAATAGTTTTGGTATCAATTTTGCCTTGCTATATACCTATAATCACCATCTAGACTAATTCAGTTTAAAGTTTTGGCAAAGATCTGTAGCTTGGTTTGTGGATGAGGTTGTTGACTTGCTTGCCGAGCTGGCTTGCTTTTGTTCAGATGTTTTGTCATCATGCTAGGTGACATCATCAGTGGAGCCTCTGATGAAGCAACGTCATTCTACTCTGCTTGAAATTTATACTGTCTGGTCCATTATGGTGAGTACTGTCATTTCTGGTTTTTAAGGCCATCGATTTAACTGGGACAAGGTAACCATAGTACCCCAAGCCAAACATAGACACGCATGGGAATTCCTAGAGGCATGGTTCTCCACCATACTTCAATCCATAAACGTATAGAACAGGACCCCATGTACACACCCATATAGATCAAAACCGGAAATGACAGTACTCACCATAACGGACCGGACATTATAAATTCCAAGCGGAGTAGAAAAACATCGCTTCATTGGAGGCACCACTGCTGATGTCACCTGGCATGGTGATGAAATGTCTGAACAAAAACAAGCCAGCTTGGCGAGCAAGCCAACAACCTCAGACTAATTCAATCTCGCTTTAGCATGTATTTTTTTAAATGTTTCTTTCTTGAGTGCCTGTGACTTAAATGACATGTTTTGATGTTCATAGCAAATCAACAGCTGGAAAATAAACAGAAATACTATGAGCAACTGCTTTCATCTACGAGAAGGGATTGTGAAGCACAGCGTGATATTGCAGAAAGACTTAAATTGGAGCTTTCTGATGTGAAAAAGCATTATGAAGAGAAGAACTTGGAGGTCAATGCCTTAAATGTCAGACTGCAAGCAGAACAAGGTTGCAGTAAATGGAAGGCTGATGAAGAAAAGAAGTGCTCAGCTGAAAAAATACAGAAACTTCAAACAGAGTTAGAAAATTTAAAAGCTCAATATGAAGAGGAGAAAAAAAGATCAGCGGACTTGTTATATCAGGTTAAAAAGACATTTTTTGTTAATACAGCAGACCTGGGTGTTTGGGCTCTTAAAACTGTTATAAACCCGTGCCACTTTGAGAAGTGAGAGTTCACAGCATGGGGTTGAATTGCTGTTTTAATGCTGGTTAGCATTCCCTCGATTAATGCATCTGAGCTGTTGAATGTGTGATTCATAATTGGCTTTCACCTTCCAAACAAACTTCCCAGACATCCTCCATGTATCTGTCTTTGCATTTGCTTCTCATTGCTCTGATTACATGTATGCACTTTTGGTGGTGGTGATCAAGTCTTCACCCATGTTTGTTAGTCTGTTTGTAAACAAAGTTTTTGAAGTACCAAGAAATGGACTTCATCAGAGCTTGGTACACAGAGCACAGTCCAAGAAAGAACTAATTAGTTTATGGTGAAAATACTGATCCACCAATTTTTGATTCAATACTTTAGGCAGTAAACAGATTGACAAGATGAGGTATTGAGCTGAAATGTTAATTTAGCCTGTATTTAGTATAAGATGCCGTGGTCTTAAAACCATTTGGAATGGGTCACCGGAGGCTTTTTAAGCAGATGTTTGCCATTTAAAGTCCCTGTTTATGCTCATTAAAGAGACTTCATGGCCTTGTGCCTGGGAATTTTTTGTTGTAGAAAGGTTCCCTCATCTGACTGCCATCAGCTGCTTAAGTGTAAACATTGTTTTGTCCATTTTAAATCCAATTAAAGGTGTACCCATTGTGTCCTGGGCATTATTGCTGGAGCTGTGAGGTGGACCTCTGAGACACTGGACAGGACACTTTCCAAAACAGTGTAGTCTGGACAGCGTAACCTTTTTGAGCAATGTTTTATTTCAGAAATTCTGTGAGGATCTCGCCAAAGAGAGATACTTTGGTATTCTGTCTTAATAGGGATCCAAATGGCAGATATCAGAAAAAACAGTGTGCTTGTGCAATTTTTCTTCATTCATCCATTTGGGCATCACTGACTTAGGTAGCATTTATTGCCTATCCCGAGCAGCCCTTGAGAAAGTGGTGACGAGCTGCCTTCTTCAATGCTGCTGCCCATTTGGTGTAAGTACACCCACAATGCCATTAGGGAGGGAGTTCCAGGATTTTGACCCAGTGACACTCCAGGATCAGTGATATATTTCCAAATCAGAATGGTGAGGGACTTGGACGTAAACTTGCAGGTGGTGATGCTCACATGTATTTGCCGCCTATGACCTTCTAGATGGTTTTGATTGTGGGTTTGGAAGGCATTGGCCTAGATAGAGGTCATGGGTTTGGAAGGTTGTACCTTGGTGAATTTCTGTGGTGTGTCTTGTAGATGACATACCCTGCTGTACTGAACCTCCGTGGCAGAGGGAATGAACACTTGTGGATGTGGTACCAATCAACCAGGCTGCTTTGTTCTAGATTATGTCAAGCTACTGTAGTGTTGTTGAAGTTGTACTCGTCCAGACAAATGGGCAATATTCCACCATGCACCTGACCTGTTTGTGTAAATTGTTGACAGGCTTTGGGGAGTCAGAAGATGAGTTATTTGCCACAGAATTCCTAGCTTTTGACCTGTTGTAGCCACAGTATTTATATGGCTGTTCCAGTTCCGTTTCTCGTCAGTGGTAACCCCGAAGATCTTGATACTGGCATACTGGACAGTGATAATGCCATTGAATGTTAAGAGGCAATGGTTAAATTCTCTCGTTGTAGACGGTCATTGCCAAGCACTTCTGTGGTATGATATTTTCTACTTCAGTCCAAACCTGAATGTTGTCCAGGTCTTGTCTCATTTTGGATATGGACTGCCTCAACATCTGGACATTGTACAAATATCAGTGAACATTCCCACTTCTGCTCTAATGGAGGGAACATCATTGAAGCAGTTGAAAATGGTTGGGCCAAGATCACTACCCTGATAAATTCCTTCTAGAGATGTCCTGGAGCTGAAATGAATGATCTCTATCAACCACAATCATCTTCCTTTGTGCCAGCAATGACTCTGTTCAGCAGAGGTTTTTCACCCCGATTCCAATTAACTTCAGTTTTACCAGGCCTGATGTCAAGGACAGTCCTTTTACCTGATCACTGGAAATCAACTCTTGTTGTCCATGTTTGAACAAAGGTCAGGAGCTGAGTGGGCCTGGCAGAATGCAAACTGAGTGTTAGAGAGCCAGATTCGCTGAGAAAGTGCTATTTGATAGCACAGTTGATGACCCTTCCGTCACTTCACTGAAAGGCTCATTGGGCAGTAGTTGACGTGTTGGATATTTTTCTGCTTTTTGTGTTCAGAACATACCTGGGCAATTTTCCACATTGTCGGTGTTTAGCTGTATTGCAGCAGCAGCTAGGTGTGTGGCATGTTTTGGAGCTGGAATGTTTATCAGGGCTCTTTGCCTTTACAGTATCTAGTATCTCTAGCCATTCCTTGATCATATGAGATGGATGAGTTGGCTGAAATCTGGCACCTGTGATGCTGGAGATCTCTGGCGGAGGCCGAGATCAATCATCCATTTGCCACTTCTGGCTGAAGATTCTTGTAAATTTTTCATCTTTGTTTTGTGCTGGGCTCCCCATTATTGAGGATGGGGATTATTTGTAGAGCCACCACCTCCAGTGTGTTGTTTAATTGTTGCATCACCATTCACAACTGGATGTGGCAGGACTGCAGAGCGTAGATTTGATCTATTGATTGTGGAATCACTTAACTCTGTCTATCACTTACAGCTTATACTGTTTGGCATGCTCACCAGGCTGGCAATTCATTTTGAGGTATACCTGTGCTGCTCCTGGCATGCCCTCTTGCATTCTTCATTGAACCAGGGTTGATTCACTTGCTTAATAGTGGGAGATATGTTGGGCAATTAGGTTGCATATTGTCTAGAGTACAATTCTGCTGTTAATGATGACCCACAGCACATCATGGATGCCTAGTCATGAGTTGCTAGATCTGCTCAAAATCTATCCCATTTAGCATGGTGATACAGAGTTGGATTTGACCGAGAACTAGCTCAAAAGGGTGTTACAGAAGACACTTGCGATGTAAGGGCCTACAAGTATATAGCCAAGTGCTGGAAAATGGGATTAGAATAGTTAGATTCTTGTTTTTGACCAATGGGTCAAAGGGCTCTTTTCTATGCTGTAGTCCTCTATGACTTCTGACAATGCTCATGAAACAGATTTAGAGGCTGTGGCATGTAAGTCTAGTAACCATTAACACAGGATTTGAATGCTGCATGTGTTTGCTTAGTACACAACGCTATCACTATTAATTTCTGACATCTTCAAATCTTTTTCATTTAATCTTCTAAGAAGGTCAAAACATATCTGTGAGCCAATGTTTGTTTGAGGTGAATAATCCTAATAGTAGAATTATTAATGTCTTTAAGATAGTTAAAATATACAAATGACCCAGCACATAGTCATTAGCATCCATTTGAGCAGACCCGTGATTTGAGGTTATGTTTTTGATGGCCAATTATTAACTGAACTTTGGTCAGATACCTTTAAAAGCAACAATACATATTGCTGTGGAGACATCCAAGGGAAGAATATCAGTTTTCCTGAATGGTGCAAGAAATAAAACCAATCTTAAATTTTGATTTAAAAATCAACCATGTTAACAAGTTACATTTTTTAATGTTCTTGCAGATACAGCTCCTTCAAAGGTCGTCTATAAATCAACAAGAAGAACAGACAAGAAATAGAATGATGGAACAACAGGTATAGCGATGGACAGTGCTGTTCTTAATTAGCATAAATGTACTGAAGTTTGTACTGCTGTCTAAAATCTGAAACAATTGTACTGTTTCACAACCGTTTCTGTATTTGGAACATTCAGTTACAGTATTCTGTGACTTTAATTCTACAGTTTTCCGCCACCTAATCTTTTTAATTTGCAATCTGATATCAAACAAATTAGGTTGTTTCGTAAATTCTGGAGTGATTAAGAGATAGTGGAAAAAAAGGTTGCCTTGATTTATAATGGATGTATTGAAGTAGCATTTCAAATTGAATTACAAAGAAACTTCAGAAATATAAAGTCTTAAATTCAAATTGTTGAGCAGTAACCTTAGTCAAGGTTGGCCAATACAGCAAGTGGTGAAAATTAGAGGATGGAATGTGCACCCTCTAGACTGTTTGCTCCTCAACAGGGGCTGAGACCAATATTGTGTAATGTTGGGGGGAAGATTTAAATTGGCATAGCAGGCAAATGGGAGCCCAAGTAGTTTGAGAAGGGGGACAAGCAAAACCAGAAATGCATGACAGAAAATTTAGTAATTGAAAGAAGAGGGATCACAATATTGATTAGAAAAAAGAATCACAGCTGTGAGGAGATTTGATGTGCTAAACAGGTTATCAAAGAAAGTCACTTAAATTGAACTGAAGAATATAAAAGGGACATTCTGGCAGTGTACCATATCCCCGATTCAGAAGGAGATAGATGAGCTAATATGTTGAAAATCTGTTGAGAAATGCAGATGTGATAAAGCAATTTTAATTGGGGATCTCAAACACTCTAATATTAACTGAAATTGAGTCAGTAGGAAGGCCATGGAGTGCTTGAAATACATGCAATTTAACCTGAGTACACCAAGCCTAACAAGAGAAGGGACAGGTCTGTACTTGGCTTTTGGGAAAGAAGCTGTTCAGGTGGAAGACTGAGCTTGGGAGAACGTCTTGATGGAAGTGATCATAATTCAATTACATTAACATGATTATGGTAAATGATAAAACATTTGGGTGCAATTTAAGTTGTAGAAAGACCAATGTTATTCAAATTTGGTGTGATTTGTAGAAAATAGTGAAATAGGGGAAAAAACTAGTTAAAAGTAAACTAATATCGTAGTAATAGGAGCAGGTCAAGGAGGAAAACAAAGAAAAAAGGCATGACTTCTAAATCCAGACCCCTCTAGATGTCAAAGAGCACATGGTAGGATAAGGTTCATAAAATCTCTTTGAACTCAACTGCAAAAAGATGGAGAATTAATGAAAATAAAGAGAAAAGATTTAATAAATGAGATCAAGAAAGTGAAGGCATGAGAAATATTAAAAAGTATCTACAATTACAGGGGGTTCTGCTATAATAAGATTGTTGCGCAGGAATGCAACTATCTGTTATAGAAAATCACACTATGGAAATAATGGGGTCTATGGGAAAAGTGGAGTTAGGGGCAGACCACCAAAAAATATCACTCAAAATTGCTCAAAAATCACCAAAAACCTAACACACAGGATAGCACAGTTTGAATATATGTTTAATTCATATCTAATAATGAAATAAAAGGAAATTTGATGCCTTACCTTGAAAAAATGTCAAGATGACTTGATGGGGGAGGTGGTTTTGAGGTTGCTCTGTTGTTAATGTAGGGCTGAGGGTCATCATCATCATCACTTTCAGGTGCAGTTGTGGTTGCAGGGTTAGGGCAAAAAGTCCTGAAGTGGATGGCTGTGAGCACAAGTGAATCTCCAATTAATACTCACTACCTGAATGCAATTAAATGCCCAATCTGTGATTGGCATGGAAGATTTTGGCACAGATTTTAATGAAAACTTTGTCTTGATGTAAGAGGCTTCCTTCATTTCCATCAATAATTGACATCTATAAATGTTGGGAAACATGATAATCAAGTGTGTAAACTGACTTTTTAAAAATAAAGGTTTGGGTGTGATTGCTATCAGGGAGCCAAAGGAACACAGGCTCAGGAAGCTATTAATAGAATGGGCAGAAAAGTGGCAGACGCAATTCGTCAAGAGACTGCTGAGATAATAGACAAGAAAATGGTAAAGTACAGAGAAATGTAGAGGGACTCTGGAGTGTGTGGTCCACAATTCCCTGAAGGTGGCAGTACATTGAAGTGGTGGTTAAGAGTATGGGATATTTTCCTTTATTAACCAAAGTACAGCATATAATTGGGAAAGCTATGCTAGAACTGTTTACGTCATAACTAGAGTAATGCACGTAGTTCTGGTCACCATATTACAGGAAGGATGAGATTGCACAGGAGAAGGTACAGAGGACATTGTACAGGAATTTGCCAGGACTGGAGAATTTTTGGTTATGAAGAAAGAATCAAATGGCTTGGGACTGTTTTCTTTAGAACAGAGGAGTCCGAGGCCTAAATTGAATGTCCAGAAGTAATTTTTCATTTAGTAGAGGCAAATAACTGGGAGTGTAGATTTAAATAATTGGTATAAGGATTAGAGGAGAGTTGAGATGAAAGATTTTCACCCAGTGTGTTGAAATGTGGAAATCAGTATTGAACGAGTGGTACAAACAATAATCCTGATCACATTTCAGAAATGTTTGGATATATACTTAGAAACCTACAGGCCTACACATTGAGAACTATAAAGTGGGATTAGCTGAATAAGATGGCACAGACATGATTGGATGAATGAGCTCCTCCTGTAACATACAGTTTCTGTTCTGAAGAGAATCATGAGCAAACTGATCTTATGGTGATCCCTAGTTATTGGCTGAAAGCCAGAAAGGGTCAGTTAAATTGGGTTTATATTGTTATTCTGTTGTGAAAACAGTTGTAAACAGACCTTTTGGAAATGATTACTATAAATCCGATTTTCACAATATGGTCATGTGGTAATGTTGCAATGACAGAAGCATAAATTACACTAAAGCAACATGATAACCTATCAAACTCTATCAAATCAAAGAAGCGAGTTGAGTGCAAGCCATCCCCATCTGAATGTCATTGTAATGAGATCAGTGTTTAAATTTGTGCAACTTTACTGTTTAATATCACAACTCATTTAATAGTCACACTTTGTGCCTATTGACTATCTGTATTAAATGCTAAGTTGAATATCTCTTTGCTGAATTTTGGGTGATGTTCGTTTCATATATGTGCTGTTTCTGCATTACACTATAATTTTAATGTGATGTTTATGACCAGACCAGAGCTCGGTTCCCAGATCAGTCTCTGAATTGTTTGTGCTGACCAGTTAAGACCATGTTGTAGCCGTTATTGGATGACACAGATAGTGACAATTGATCATTCGGTTTCAAGATTTTGTCTTTGCAAGTTGGCTAAAGTTCACTTGTTCTGTTTTTCTTTATAGTGACTGAATTCCAGCGTTCACAGTGAGAAAAGCTCTTCCCATTGTTTTATCTACAGTGTGGAGTGTTTCTCAAAACTGGCCCTCACATACTACGACATCCAGCCAATAAAACACAGAAGCTAGTGTTGCAGACAGTTTTTAACCAATTATTTTTTGCATATTCCTGGAGGGTAAATTGGGCATGTCAGCAAGAGGTGACTTTCTGCTACGGAGAGGATAATCTGCCACTTCATCTCTTCTTGTTAAGTCACTGTTTGAATATTTCACTTTAAATATGAGATTCCATAGGTTTCCCATAGGACTTTGCCATACGGTCATTGAATTTACATATGCAGTTTCTTTCTTCCATGTATCAGTCCTTTTTTAAAAAAAATAAGTTTTAGAATTAAAAACTAAAACCTATAAATAGGTCAGGTTCTGATTCATTATCTTAACAAATAATATTGGTGGTTGTTAGAATTCACATTGACACAACATGCATATAACCAGCGTAAATTGCTTTCTTGTCACCTGCTCATGATGTTTTGCCTAAAACCTGAGAGATGCTAAAATATGCAACTAGTGAAAGTTTGACAGCTTTTCACAATTTAGCAATTTTTTTTCTCTCGGTATAGAAGTAAAGTCTTGTTTCTCACCGAATATGAGCAGTGAGATAATGATAATGTTGCTGGACAACTAATCAAGCAACCCAGATTAATGCTTTGGTGAGAGTTAAAATCCCACAGCATCTAAATTTTAAATTCAAAAATCCGTTCTTCAATATATCTGGAATAGAATGTCACTCATTATTAGTGATATTGGAAATAAGATTGGTGTGAATCTATTGGGTTCACTAATATCCTTCAGAGAAGCTATGCTGCGTCCAGTCATGGCAGTGGGCAATCAAATCAACAGGAGGAGGAGCTCCAAAAACCCCTCATTCTTCATGGTGGTCGAGCTCAGTACATCAGTGCAAAAGACCAAGCTGAAACATTTGCAACCATCTCAAGTATTTGGAACATAGAGAAATCAGATTCCTGTTAAAGGTCAGGAATGAGCAAGAAATTCATCCAGTTGTTTGCATCCCTGGATACCTTTTTGCATTGTTCAAGATTAAACATAATTTATTTTAATAAATGTAGTTCATTCAAAATAGCCGGTGTAACTGCCTGCCAGAAAATTAGCTGCTATTATTTAGTTCTGCATGAAGTACATCAAAAAAAGTCAAACTAACCCTATTTAGAAGGTAAAATATTGGAGTTACTGAAATCTGAAACAAATCAGATGGCAACACATACCCAGTTAAAGTTATTTCTCAGGTGCACGCATCTTTCTTCAGAAACCATCGGATTTCCAACACAATGCCGTTTACTCAGTTATCGTTGAATGCACCTAAGTGCTAGAAAAACTAATTACTCATCATGCCATTAGCAACAGTGCAACTTATTATCCACTATAAACTACCATTTTTATGCCACTCTGACACGCATTAGGCATGGTTTTGACCTAACTGCAGCAATAGTGGAAGAAAGTTGAGACTCCTGTTTAATCATTATTTGAAAGCATTCATAAGGACTTTTGCTTCAAGGAATTCCACTGACCGGTTAATTAATTCAACTGTTGTGCATTGTTTCAAGAATTCTGTTATTTGGCTGACTTCACTATGTGGATGATATGACATGCTACTATGGGTGACTCATCCTTGATGATTAAACTTGTCAGTTGATTGCTTCAACCAAATGGCTCTTGGGAGAAGGCAGGAGAGTGGAGTTGAGGCTTATCTCATCAGCCATGATCTCATTGAATGTTGGAATGGACCTAGTGCCAAATGGCCTACTTACCTAATGGTCTTATGTCAATTAGGATCAATGTTGCTTTTTTTTTTCAGACAGTTGATTTTTATGTTGGATTTGAGAGAAAATATTCACAAGAGCTTGCATGGTTATCATTTTCTCTTTATGAATTAAATTTGAGATCAGTTTTTTGCAATTGATTGTTTGTCCACAGTGCACAACTTTGCAATCACAAAGGCCATAACAGTGATCTGTGGAAGGAGAGGTGTTCTGTTCCTCATTGCCTTGATGTCTTCACCTTGATCACCAAGGCTATAGACTGAAATTTTTTTTAATGCTATATGTGCACAAATTTTAAACATTTTAAAAAGCTTCCTTCTCAAACTAGTATAGATTAAAATATTTTACCACACATAAACTAGCACTCCATTGTGAAGTTTCTGGTTTTCTTTCATATAACCACGTTTTGAATTCTTTACAGATGCAAAACCTTACATTAGATTTTGAGAGCGAGAAACAAGATCGCCAAAAGCTGCAACACCAATTACAGAAAGTCTTGAAAGAGCTGCATAAGGCACGAGAACAGATCACCAGACTGGAGAATACAGTAAGGATTGAGCATTCATTTGAATGGGAAACATTGAATGATCGCGTAGTTGTTTCTCAAATGTGGTGCTCAGCAGGGTAGGTAGTAAGAGGAATATCAGGAGATTTGCATGAAGGGATTTTGTCAGCTGAGTAGGATAATCAGACTGTGGTTCATCTACTTTGTGCCTTACCATCCTGACAAGTCAATATGAAAATTCAATTCGAAATATTGTGGGATCAATTTGTCCGTTCTTAATGTTATGCTTGATTCCTGCCTCATGGCACCAGGGACCTGGGTGTGTGGAGTTTGCACATTCTCCCAAGTCTTGTGGGTTTCCTCCGGATGCTTAGGTTTCCTCCCACTGTCCAAAGATACGCAGGTTCGGTGGATTAACCATGCTAAATTACCCATAGTGTTCAGGGATATGCAGACTAAGTGGATTATCCATGGGAAATGCAGGGTTACAAGGATAGGCTAAGGAGTGGTGGGTCTGTGTGGGATACTCTTCGGTGGATTCGATGAACTGAATGACCTGTTTCCACACTGTAGACGTTTTATAATTCTGTGATTTTTGTGTACAGTTTGCCCATTAAAGTTTTCCCAGAATTTTTCTTCTTATGTTTTAGCTGATACTATTTTAATAAGAATTTGCTGCTTAATAGTGAGCGTAGTGAAAAATCAATTTGCTGTCGTTTGTTAATCCTCACAGGACTTTTTAATATAATTCACAGTGCAGCTGATGTGTTTAAACTATATATAGTCTATATGTTTTCCACTAAAAGGATGATAGTGCATTTATAGGGAATGCTGTCTTGACTATGGCCCATTTGAAAGAGGTTTTTGGGGATCTGCAGAAACTGCATGGGCAACATTATTCTGCATCAGCTGAGGTATACATGAAATAAAATCATGTGCTGGAGAAACTCAGCAGGCCTGGCAGCATCTGTAACATGAGGAAGTGTTAAAATTTTGAATCCAATGACAACTTCAGACCACCACATCTTTACACTATGGCTGTTCCAGAGAAGAGTCAACAGACTTTACGTTAACTGTTTCTCTCTCCACATATTGTGGCAGAGCTGCTGAATTTCTCCACTTTGTTTTCATTTTAGATTTCCAGCTTTTGCAGTAGTTTGCTTTTATTTGAGATATTTGTGAGATTTATTTAGCAGTTAAAATTAAGACAGATTTTAGGTTTTTTTGTGCAAGGTTTCCTCCCTTATTTGTAAATGCATGATTTAACCCTAACTCTTTCTGCACGCTGACCATTACATAGTCAATTATTGATTGTGTTGTTATTGGCAATCTGCACTTTTACTGCAACTGCTACATTTTTGTCAACCTTTCTTATTTTTTGGTTCAGTTTATGGCTCTCTGGCAACTATGTCAGCTTATTGTCCTCTTCATTTGGGGAAAGTCAGCTGAATTTCTATCCGTCTGACTTTTTAATTCACGTAATCTAGATTGAAAAAGAAATGCAATGTGAGACTAGCTATAAGCCTGCTAGACACTTGGCTTCTTAAAACTATTGGAGTGCTTTTTGAACAAATTTTAACAATTCATTTAAAAAAAAAACTACCTTTTGTTTCAGCAAGTACAAGACATCTGCCTCTCAGATCCAGTGTTATACAGGAATGGTGATGATGAAGACAAATTGCCTTTGCCAAAGTCCAACAATCTTCTTGATGAGAGTTTCTTGGCATGCCCCAAGTGCAAAGCTCAATATCCCACAAGTCAACACCGTGATCTTTTGGACCATGTTGATTATTGTAATTACTAGAATCCATGCTGCCCTTTTTTTCTCATTTCACTTAAAGTTGTAATCAGAAAGCTACAGTTTGCGAATAAACATTTGAACATTAAATGAATTTGATACTTAATATAATTCAGAAAACGGAGCAACTTGACTGATTTTCCAGTTCAAGTACGTTTGGGAAGGGTTAACTTAATTTTGGCAGTTTCTTGAGGCAGTATTTACCACCTCAGAGATAAGTGTGAAGCTGGAGGAACACAGCAGGTCAGGCAGCATCAGAGGAGCGGGAAAGTTGCTGTTTCAGGTCGGGACCCTTCTTCTTCAGAATTTAGATTTTCTGAGGAAGGTCCCGATTCGAAATGTTAATTTTCCTGCTCCTTTGATGCTGCCTGACCTGCTGTGTTCCTCCAGCTCCATACTGTGTTATCTCTGACTCCAGCATCTGCAGTTCTTGTTGTCTCTGAGTGAGTTATTAACTTCCACAGAACTTTTACAGGATTCGATCTACATTTGTCTTGAAATGCTCACCGGTAATCAAGTGGGAACCCTAAAGCCTATCATGCCTAAAGAAAAATTCCTGCCTGTAAAATCAGAGCATTTAAGACTATGGAATTTGATGCCTTTACCCAAAATATGTAAACACAATTTTCTTGTGACATTGCTTTTGGCCTTGTTTCGGTGATCCAGTCATGTTGTGGGTTAAGACTTCCATCCTGCAGGTCAGCATAGTCTTAACCATATTCAGTTAGTTCGTAGATAAAGCAAACTGGTAGTGAAGTAGAACTGGGACAACAGATGTACTATTATGTCCAGAATAAAGCTTTATGGAATGATTCGCACTGCAGAGCTTTGCTGCCACTCCTTTTAATATATTCTTCAACAGTGTAATAATATTTGGATCCCTTCCACTTCCCCACCCCCCAACTTTTGCTATTTGATTTGCACACGAAATATTTCTTCTTACTTTCATTTGATGAATTTGATATGCATCAATGATTTAGTCTGCTGTACTCATTTTCCCATTTGTGATGGAATGGATTTTGCTGATTTTAGTTGTTTGTTGTAACCTGAAGCTGCAGTACAGTACCAACTCTCCCTTCGTAAACCTGTTTTACTTATATTCCCATTCCTTCAAGTTTGTTGATGTACCTCAAAACAAACTACGATGCATTTTCTGCCTCCACGATTCCCAATATTCAAGTTTCTAACCATGTCTGAGGAGGTGCAATATCTGCCTTTGTTGCTTTGCAGCTAGTTCACAGACCTGATGTATTCTGTTCACATAGCTGCCTGCTGTCCTGGTCAGTCAATGGTATTTTGAAGTCACAATATCTGTAATGGTTTTTTTTTTAAATAAAGGAAACAAATGTTATATTTTCCCATCTACTTAGTGTAGATGATTACCTTTATGAAAGTAATAAGTTTAGAATACATATCGAATCTTCAATGCACTAATCACCAACTGAAATGTGGATGAAACTAAATTGCAGCAACTTCAATTTTTGGATTCAGTTAGTATTTGTTCAGCACTATAAACACCTTATGTTATACAACTCCATTTTGAATACAAGATTTTAATTCAAGTAACACTGATGGTAAGTTACTGCAGCTTTTTTCAAATTACAACAAGATTTTGAGACGAAACCTATGTGATAAATACTACTCTTGAAAAGTATTTTAATTATTTTAAAACAAATTATTTAAATATTTTATCTTTTGGATTTTAAGGTGTTCATTTGTTTTTGTTTACAATGTAAGGATACAACCTTTTGGAAGAAAAAAGCTCACTGACCAATCCTTGAAAGGGAATGATGCGAGCTCCTCTTTTCATATTCATTCTTCACCTGACTATCTTTTAATTCAGTGACACTCCAATTATTCTACTGAATGCACAAGCTTGAATCTGTTCTTTGTTTGCACTGTACATTAAGCCAGAAATTGGCAAAATGTAAACTGATTTAAAATTGTATTTAATGCTGTGTATTGCAGGGCCAGAGCAGCAATAACAATAGATTCCTTCAATTCTATGGAATGTTTACAACATTTTGAAAGGTTCATATCTTTAAGGATAGTTTTCATTGCCACCCAAAGTAGCTCAGAGGATCTTATGCTAATCAGTTTCTAACCTTGAAGATTTCTTGAGCTGGTTTGAGTGTCCAAAAACCTTTTCCAATTTCTTCCTTGCACTGTATTGTAGGGAAACCCCAGATCACTGCAATTTCAATGAAGAGACAGCTAAGCCAAGCAGCTCTGTTTGGTAATATGAGGAAGCATTGCATGTGTGAATTGTGATTTCTGTTGCATTATGCTGCCTCACTTTATTTCTTTTACAAATCAAGTTTTCAGATACCTCTCGCAACTCCCACCCCCTCTCGAGCAGCTATGTAATTTTGAACACTGAAGTTTGCGCCCACAAATCAATAACATACTAATAACACAATATGTTTACAACATTTAAATTATTTTAGATGAAGTCAGAACAACTTTGTATAAATGTTTGGTTCCCGCTTTTTAACCACTTGTTTCTTTTTATTAATGTGTACTTTGAAAATTCTAGACAAATGGTCTACTTTGCTTATGAGAATCCCTTTTTTTGTAAAATCAAACATTTTATATGTAACTTTTAATAAATATCAGGTAATTCAATAAGCATTTGTCTCATCTTTTAAATCCTCATGTCAACATATTGTAAATTTTGAAAAGGTCGTGTTCATTTCCAAACAGTCTAAAAAACCAGTCTATGAATCTGCGGTTTCTGGATAATCATTCAAAATTTATCCAGAAATAACTAACTGTTAAAGAAATCCAATTTTACTATTTGTGGTTTGGACTTTTAGCAACATTACTAGCAAAACATGTGATGACTGCAAGTTGCTCATTACATCAAATAGACATCAAAGATGGTGGAGAAATCAATAACTTTCAGTTGAGCAGGCAAAATGTTTTAATATGATGGTTCTGTACATTACCCAAATGAATTTGTAACATTGTAACCAGAAATAAATTTGGCAAGACACCTCACTACTTCATTGTCCATTAATGTGTGTGTGAACAGAGCATTTCCTACAGTGTAACTCAGCTAAATTTTATTTTTCTCATTTTTCAGATCATAAAGACATTTCTTAAATAATCACTATTATATAATGCTTTGAGCTCAAAAGAAGCTGGTAAAAATTATTTTGTACATTGATCCCTAAGCAACTAACAAGACTGTTGTTGATCAACATCAAAGTGATTTTTTTCCTCTGAGGTGGTAAGAATAATGGGGAACGTGATGACTCAGGCAAGTGTCCAAAATTCAGATTCACAAATATTGATCATAACATTAAGTCAAGCTCTCATTCCTGAAGTGGCCTGATTTTAATCCAAATTTTGCCATCAGGTGGTAAGAAGGTAATTTAAATCTATTTAAGATACCAGCTAGCCCCATTAACTTTCGCTTCCCTGTTCTTGCCAGTTGAGGTACTTGATGCTTCACCACTTGATGTCAAAAATTGAGTGGTTACCTATTAGGTTTATTCAGTACCAAATACTGGTTGGTCTGAATAAAAAAAACCAAACAGACTGTGGATGCTGTAAATCAGAAACAAAAGCAAGTTGCTGGAAAAGCTTAGCAGTTCTGCAGTATCTGTGAAGAGAAATCAGAGTTAACGTTTTGGGTCTGATGACCCTTCCTCAGGGTTCTGATTTCTTTTCACTGGTTAGTCTGAAGCTGTGCTGGCCGATTTTCCTTTATGTTGACCCACTTGAACTGCAGCAAGTGCCTCCGTGGTCAATGATGATAGTCACTCGACTCCATCAACAAAACTGGGCCACAGCAATGCGTTAGCTGCAGAACATTACTGTCATCAGGAAGACTCGGGCATCACCCTTTGGCGTTAATGGACATGAACAGCCAGGCATTCCCTAACGTTTAGCCATTACTTTAGTACATGCAAGAGGTATTTACTTAGAGATGGTACACTATTATAGAAGAAGGAGGTAGGAAGCTTGTTGCTTTAGGAAACAGTAACAAAGATGTGTAAAAGTCCTAAATTTGGAAGATTTGTTGCTGTGCGGTTTGCCCTACATCAATACCAGAGGTACTGACCAGTAATTTATCTCAATTAAGTTTTAATTGAAGAAATGTTTTAAAAATCAGGTAACTCCATTAAAGCTGGTTTATATTTAACAAGTTCGTAGTTTAAAAATGCTAGTAAGATTCTACTTTTTGGAGAACACCAAGTCACATAAAAGGTGCATAGCCGGTCTTTATTCTAGCCTTCTCATAGATGAAACCAAGCATTGATATGAATTATGTTATACAGAAAGCAATTGGCAACAATATGAATTTCAGTGGACATTACATGCAGTCAAAGTCCACTGAAAACAAAAATAAATTGGCCAATTCTGAAATTGCACAAGTGTGGTCTGTGATGAAGTATTGATTTTTTTTTATGTTATGAAAGTAATGACTTTAAGTGACGTATTTTCTAGCTACTTCCAAAGCCAGAATCTGAAACATTTGATGTCAACAAAGCAACTTGAGAAACCTATAATATTATATCAGACTGATACCTGATTGAAGCTGTAAAAGGCAGTTGTACGTTTATATCTCATACAATGCAAATATTTACTTGATTTTGTTGGGTTAATTAGAGTTAGTTAATTGCATAATCAAGAACTAAACCAAAATACTCTATACAAAAGAAAGCGATATACGCCATCATGTCACACTATGCCAGCTGCTGGACAAAAATTTGTGCCAACAAAGTTTGGGTGTCATACAGATGCCCTCAAGGTTACAGTTGCCCTTGATTATTTACCACCTGCTCATTTAATGGAGCAACTGGACACTTTGGAGGTATCTCCTAATGGTCAATAAGTGTATTCAGATTAACTCATCAAAGTCCACTTCCTCATTTCTTTTCCCCTTAATGCCACCGTACAGTCATAGAGTTGTACAGTATGGAAAGAGACCCTTTGGTCCACCTTGTCCATGCTGACCAGACATGGCAAATTAATTTAGTCCCATTTGTGAGCATGTGGCCCATATCCCTCTAAATCTTTCCTATTCATGTACCCATCCAGATGCCTTTTAAATGTTGCAACTGTACCGCCATTGCCACTTTCTCT